CGTCCACCAGTCCTGCCTGCAGCAGTGGAGTAAAGAAGCTCCGACACGCGCTGCTGTGAGCTCTGTAGATATGAGTTCATCATGGAGACCAAGACTCAAACCGCTGCGCAAGGTAACATAGATTTTTGTCTACAGTCAATCATTACACGTTCATTATTTTAATAATAATAATAATAATTCCTTACATTTATTATAGCGCTTTTCCAGATGCTCAAAGCGCTTTACACATTACACATATCATACATGCAATATCTTTTTTATTTATTTTTTTTATTTTACTATACTTACTTGTTTGCCTGTCCTTGTTTGTCTACCCTCCCTCATATTGTAAAGCGTCTTTGAGTTGTGAAAAGCGCTATATAAATCAAATGCATTATTATTATTATTATTATTCCACCATTTTGGATTTGAGGCTTTGAGATGCTTGGTTAAGCAATATCTCTTTACTAAATTAAAGACAAATGTACCAGTACTAGAAATATTCCAGAGCAGTTCCAGGCATAGTTTACTGGATCAAGTCCTCTCAGGCTCTCTTAACGCCGGATTCAGCAATTTTAGAGAAAACATTTTGATAATTGAAAGGAATATTAAAATAAACTTTCCCCCGCCAGATGTATTGTCCATCTCACTCCCATTTTCTTTGTATATGTGTATCTTTGTATACCCATGGCCTTTTTCCTGAAATGTGCTCAGGCATGTAAGACACCCTGTTGCCTTATTGCTTGACTAATATTGTGTGTTGTTTATTTCTCACTTATAGATATAATGAGAAATACATAGCCAAGGCTATGTATGGACCCCGTTGATAGGGTCATAGACACAAAATGGACAGGTAGGCAGACATTCAATACATTTGACAAGAAGTGTATTGGATTGGATTGTTGAATCCACCTTAAAGTTATTGAATGAATTACAGTATTCATTTATGTTTAAATAGCATACGGTAGATTGTGATGCAGGTGCTCTGTATATAACTTACCTGATGGTGAGAATCTGTCCAAAGTCAAGGTTATAATTGTTGACCTGAGCAATAAAGATGGCAGCCAGGGCTTCATACAGAGCTGTTCCATCCATGTTTATGGTGGCGCCAACAGGGAGCACGAAACGGGTCACACGCTTGTCCACCTTGTTATTTTCCTCCAGGCATTTAAAAGTAATGGGCAATGTGGCAGAGCTTTGGAAGGATATAGGGAGAGGATGGATTAAAAAAAAAAAACAGAAAAACAGAGACATAGCCTATTATGAATAATCAACCACCTCTTTATGACTCTCATCTGACCACGTGTGGGTTTAAGCATCAAGAAGGCTGACAACATACTAAGTCTAAAATCAATGCTCTAGTAATAATCTAACAAAGCAACTATTGCCGTTTTGAAATGCATAATATCAGGAAAATGTAAAATACATTATTAAAGTATTTTTTGGGCAATTAATATACTTTTTATCATCCAGTATTGAAGTATTACATTGTATTAAGGAAGATTATAATACATTCTATCTTGGCCGTTCAGTCTGTGAAGTCTTTAGTTGCTCTTAAGTTATATAACACAACCACATACCTTGAGGATGTTCCCAGAGCGGTGATGAGCGCCTGCAGTAGCCCGCCAATGAAAACAAATGGGTTCTTCCTGGTTACGAGGAAGTAAAGTGTTGGCAAGACGAATAGGGCATGAACGAGCAGGCCACACATGACCGTCACAGTGTACATGGCCAGCTGTCCGCCCATGGATGAGATGTCATCCATCTCCACGATCTTACCAGCGATCAGGAACAGGATACCGATGGGGGCATACCTGAGGATCGATGAGTAATGTAATGAATTTGTAATCCAGACCCAGCATTTTATTTTACGTTAGCCTTATCCATCCATCCTTACCACATGATTATGGCAACCAGCCTCATGATGGCTTCATTAAGACAGTCAAAGAAGTCCTTGAGGGGCCGCCCCTGCTCCCCCATGCTCGAGATGATCAGACCAAAGCAGATGGAGAACACAACCAGGCCAAGAGCATTGACTCCATTGACCGCTGCAGGCACCGGGATCATCTCCTCCCGGGTCATCTCGCTACCATTAAGTTTGAATATGGTGTCGTTCACAGTCATTTTCACATGGACTATTCTCTTGGCATACTGTGTCTTAAACTGCAAAGACAAATGGGTTAAACAATGATTAATCCTTTTGCAATAACATGTATATGCATGCTTTTATTTAAGAACTATATTTGACTTTTTAAAGATATCCTATATCTAACTTGCTGTATATTAAGATCTGTTTTAATAAGGAGGTTGAAGTGGCCTTAGTTAGCATCTCAGCTGTGTAAGCATGGGTACTGGACATGTGATATGCTTTGATAATGATGGCAAATTCAGATTTAGTTGCTTAATAATTAAATTTCCAGTGTAACAGAGATCTCCAGTAAGCAGTTTAAAGTTCACATGAATGAAATTTGCAATACCCTGTACCTGAGAGGCTTAACCATAGCAGCATGTTTACTTTAATGGGCTTAAGCAAGATCATTTAGAAACAAATCATTATGTAACTGACGGAAAAAATAAAGAATGGATGTGGTGAGAGGGTTACCTGTTTGGTGCAAGCCTCCACAAGGTTAGGGGGAAACATATTTCTAGAGAAATAGAAAATAGGTACATTTTTATTAGGATTTACAAATAACAAATAGACATTTTCTAAAAAAACATGCAATATATAGACTATTTGGGCCAGAATAAGTGTACCGGAGTTCTCTTGTGACTGTGTTTTGTTGTCCCATAAATGTGTGTGTACCTGATTAAGTCCAGGAAGGCGTCAGCAGGGCTGATCTGCTCAATCTTCTGCTGGTTGGTGAACTCATCCTTTGATCCTTGTCCAGGATGAATAATGAGCACCATGACGATACCAATGAACACAGCAATAACAGTGGTGGTGGTGTAGTACACAACTGCCCGCATACCCATTTTCCCAGAAGCACGGCCGTCCAGAGCTGCCATACCTGAGAAGGACATTGTCTACATTAATGTATCAGTACAAAAGGTTATATCCTCAATAGAGTTTTTTAAAGTATTTATCTGCTGGTAGCTGTACTCATTATCAGAATTATAGAAATACTTTCAAGCTGTAGACATTTCAGTTCCTAGCAGCAACAGCACTGTACTGTTAGCAGCTTTATTTGGTCTCATGTTGCATACTGTACATATAGGTACATCATGAGAGTAAGCATGTGTTTAAAAAACAATATAATCATCTCAAGGTTCAGTTACTGTCATAATAAATACTGCAACTTTTGTATTGTTCTACATAATGGAAAAAAAACCTCCCTTTCATCTTTAGTCATGCTGCCTTGTGACCTTACAGTTTGCATAGATGTGTCAGTTACTTGTGTCCCTAAGAGCTTACAGTTGATCTGGGAAAAGGTGCTGTGATTATAGGTGGAATACACCCATCTGTATTATCTGCCTTGATATCTGTGGAAACAAAGAGCGGCAGGGAACACAATCTGGCTCTGACCTTTACTGGAAAACAACACCTACTGTACAGCACCCATGAGGAGATCTAGTATACATTATCTGACTTTAAATACAGATACAATATTATAGCTGCAGGGAGAAACTCTGTAAAAACAAGCCAATACAATTTAGATTTTGTGGTTTTGATAGTTGGGCAAAAAGCTTCACCTATAGTAGGGTTGGCCTCATTTAAATATTGTCTTTTATTTGATCATGTAACAGTGATGCATGTCTCCAAGTGTGACATTAGTTTGTTTTGAACTCAGAGACTGTTAGTTAAAGATTAACAGTCTGAGCTCCATTGAATATGTGTGAGGGCAAGGTGACTAACAGAGCTATGATTTATGCAGAAAAAGATTCTTGCAACATAATACAAAAGCTGATGATGAATTTCCAAGGAAATATTTAGCTCCCTGTTACAGTATGTTGGGTAATAACTCCTACAGGAATCAATTTTGGGTTGCTTGAGAAATAGTTTCCACAAAGCTTGTTTTCGGTTAAGAATTGACAAACCTCCACTGGAGAAAGTGACGTTTAATCGGAGCCAGAGGAGAGTTTGAAGACGTCACAGAGCCTGGAAGCTAAACCGTCGTCTACAGCTCTAATAGCATTAAACACAGGTCAGGATAGTGATGGTAAACAGAAAGACATGCCATTCAGGAAACTGGATTTAGAAAGGGACAAGCTACCTCAATAGACTTGACTTTTCCGTTTCAATGTGTCAGTTCCTATTATGGCTATTGTCTTCCTTTATTCAGAGCTTTATGAGGCAAAGCAGGCTTGTGTGATGGAAGATATATGTGTTCCTTTTATATGTTGCAAATTGTATGTGTGTGGTGTGTGTTCGTGTGTGTCCCTACTACTGCGCCCCTACTGCCCCTGCTTTGGCCCTCTCCTTTCCTCTTGTCTCAACACGCCCACGACTAAGGCTTTTATTCTCCTCATCCTTCCCTCCCTCATTTTCTTCTCCCAAATTGTTCACCTCCTCCCTGTAACTCCTTTTGTTTCAGGGTGCCCCCTGGTTCCCCTCCCCTCTTGCCCCCACATCTTTACCTCCCTTCTCTCTTTTTCTTGCACACTGATCTTATTGCTGCAATCCTTTCATAGCCACCCGTTTCCTCCTCCCACCCCTCTGTTCTGCTCTCCTACAATTTCTTTTCTGACAGCCCTGGGAAAACTTGTTGACTTAGTCAGCCCTGCACGCACATAATGATCCCCAGCCTGTTGTCCAGGCAACAACGGACGCAGCCTCACCAATTTCATCCTCTCAAAGGAACAAAAGAAGCGAGTATGAAGGAGAGCGAGGAGAATGACTTTCTTTCTCAAATGGGGAATGTTCATCAAACACAAAAGTAGCCCTACTTTAGAGGGGGGTATAGTTGGGTTTGACCAGAGGGCAATTAACATCCACTGACGACTCACAGTTCTAGCAAGACTTTGCCTCAAGGCATGCAGTCAGAAAATATCTCTACATAATAAAAGAAAACTTACAAGGTAATGTCTTGCAGTGATCGATGGACCAAATAAGACCCCTGCTTCTTACATCATTTATATTGATGATGTTTTTGGTGAATCATTAAAAAAAATGTACATCCACAGAGCTTTAAGAAAGGTCTAGACATTATATTTATAGCACAGTTTGTTCACATTAACTTTGTTCATCACTTAACTTCACCTTTATGTTGCTGCCTTTATTCAATAAGGCTAACTCACAGAGAATCAGTCCAGTCATTTAACCCTTGGCCTTGTCTTGACTCCCAGTCCCTCCACCTCCTTTCCTCCACATGACCTCCTTTGTAATCATTCTCCTTTTCCTCCTTTTACTGCCCACATCCCTTCTTCCTGTCCAGCCCCTTCATGTGTTTCAGCTCTTATTGAAAGGCCTTGAGACAACACATATTTGACGACCAACGCATTGAGCCGTTTATCTGAAGTCTCTCATACATTTGTATCCTTGGTTCCCCTGCCTGCCGGTCCTCTAATCCTGCTTTCCTTCATTTTCTACCTTGCAGGGCCCCTTTTCCCAATTCCCTATTCTGTCTCAGTTTTGGACAGGATCAAAATTCAGAAGCAAATTTCTTCAAACTGAGACAACCCACTTCACAAAGAAACAAAATTCAGCAAGGAGCGTGACACTCAGTTTACACAGGGGCCTCGTGTTTGCAGCAAGGAAGTCAAAGGAGCATAGCTCTGATGCTTTTATCTCCAAAAATATGTTATTTTCAAAGTTTTGCTCTGTCGCATAAATCAATCACAGCTCTAAAATAGAGCTTAATCACATTTATGCTGTATAGGATATTGGTTCCTGTTGGAAAGTTGGTGAATCAAGCCTTTATTTTGGGGTTAAAAACATTGATAAACATACAGCTAAAGTTTTCAAACTCTCTTCAAGATCAATGGTTGCTGTGTTTCTCCAAAGTCACCTAAAACGTCTCATATTACTTTCAAACGAGGTCAAAGTTTAAGCGGAAATCTGAAGACCGTGGGAGAAAAAAGTGAGCCTCAAATAAATGGTGACTAAAACAGCTGTGTTGCAGGAGTTTAGAAAATGTTTTACAGTATTTTAAAAACGATCCTTTTCTCCCATGACAAAGTACAAAACATTTTTTATTCTGATTATTTTTTTGAAAGTCCAAGTAACTTTAAGATAATGAGTTGCAATGTGTCTGCATATGCAGGTGTGTGTGTGTTTGTGTGTGTTGTTTGTTTTGGTGAAACAGTTACTTTTTACAGTCACAGTTACATAATGCTTTTTCGGTGCTGTTCTTGTTGTGACCTCAGCCCTCAATCTGCTCTACAACATTTCCGACAGCTGGCTGATGTAACCTCTGTGGGATGTAATTAAATGTTAGATGTTGTGTTTGAATTAAAGCAGTGACCACCAACTGGCGGCCCGCGGGCCACATCCGGCCCGCCAGACATTCTCATCCGGCCCGCACGACGGGGGTGACAGTGCGTTGGCGGAGTGGTTACTGCGTTCGCCCCCCGCCCATTTTTTTTTTATACAACGTCTCGTGAGTAATGTGCAGTACCGGAGTCCAACAGAGAGGCAGCAGCTGCGGGACAGTAGACTGCGTACTGCGAAACCTTCCCTTCCTTGATGAAGAAGTGATCCTTCGTTGTGAAAAGTCTGGTTAATGCGCTCCGCACCACAGCAGTAGACCCACTGCGACAGAGTCCAACAGAGAGGCAGGAGCTGCGGGACAGTAGCCTAGAAGCAGGGTTGGGTTGTAACGGAATACATGTAACGGCGTTACGTACTGTAATCAGAATACAAAAATCAAGTAGGCTAACTGTATCCAGCTGGCGTTACATTTGAAAAACGAGTAACCTGATAACAGTTACTTTCGTAAACCAGAAGTGAATACATTTTGGAATACTTATTGGAATTATTGGTGGAAAAGATTCCTCCCAAAATGTAATATTCATTACCGGCAGAACTGTGTGCACACTGCACAGCGCTGCAGCATGTCTGGAGCAAGAGAGAGATGCAGCGTGTCTGTGAGGCCCCGCCCCCGCACGCAGATGAGAGAGAGAGAGATCTCTTTTAAAATATATTGAAAGTTAGAAACGGAGATGGTTAGATAAAATGTGCAAGATAACGTTTATGTAGCATTTATTTATTGTCGAAATGATGACATTTCATAACGGGATCAAATCAAAGTGAATGGCCTGCTGCTGCTGAATGCATGGGGCAAGTGACTGGAAAAAGTTTTATTACATCGTTTCAGATAATAAATAATAATGATAATTCATTCTATTTAGGGGCGCCTTTCAAAGCACCCAAGGACACCTTACAATTCATAACATATTCCAAGGAAAGGTTTTAAGACAGTGCAAAGAATGCAGTCCGGCTGATGTTTTTTATGTGGGGTGCAGATGAGAGGGAGCTGCCAGAATGACACCAAGATGTTGTGTTTGAGTTCTTGATAAGCCATTAAAACAGTAAAATAAGTGTCTCCTGTTCACCAAAACATGTTATCACGCTGCAGTAAGACAAGTAGGTCTGGGTTGACCCTCGTGTCTCGGCACAAACGAGTAAACAGTCTCTGCACAGCGAGTTAATTTCCGGTTTTCCGGTGTTACCTCTGTTTTTGTGTCTTCACCAAACTGGTTTGTAAGGGAGAGTTCAGTCTCTTGACTCCAGTGTTTTTATTCGGTAGACTCTCGGGTTATACTAGTCAGGTGGTCCTAGTTAAGGTTGGATCTTATACGAAGGTCCGTTCCGACGAGCTCCGATTGGTTACTAGTGTCCGTACACGCATACTCTGTTACTGGCGACTGTGGTAAAGTCGTCCTAAATTTGAGGACCGTCCGTGTTCGAGGTCGGAGTCAAAGACGTGACTTAATTTTTGTTTCCACACACTCCTGACGTATAATCTTATAATCTAACGGTGTCATAATCTTTCCTCGTTTTGAAAATTGACAAGTCTAACAAATACTACACCATTTCTGACTATAACAAGGATATTAGCAGACTTTTGACAATTTCAGTACTACCACTTGCCAATTGTTTCCTTTTTCCCTTTGAAGCTCGACGACGGGACTGTGAAATCAAATAAATTAGGATTTTAATGTCGTGAAAGATTCTACGTGTATAAAAGTTTTTGATAAAATAAATAAAAAAAGGAGATAAAATAAAAATTTACGCGGGCCCCTGTTAATGTGTATAAGGTGTCGATAATGACGATATAGAACATATCAAAGTTACAATTAACTGTTATTTATAACAACAAATAGAAATAGACCTACGCGTCACAGCCGCAACAATAGTGTACGTCTGCACTATTTCGATGTTCCATGATGAACGTAATACAGTGTGATTTGAAGTATCTTCGTTGAATCTCGTAAACCTACAAGGCCTGGACACGTACCCGCCTCTAAAAGAGCATTGGACGCTGGAAAGCCACTCTAAAATCACATTATGGGACAGGAGTGTGGGAGAAGTCGCCGGCGTATCCTTTCTGCCAGGGTCGATCTCCCGAGGCCGGGACGACGCATAACAATCTGATCCCAATGTTATGCATTGCGCGGCCGGCGAATATATGATGTGTCGCGGGAGGATGACGCTGAGAATACCCATGCACACCACCTCCGGGGCTACACTATTGCGGGACAGCCAGGTTGTTGCGTCAAGCCTGGTAGTGGACGGCGACTGGCCGAAAAGCCGGATTGTAGTGGCGGTGGGGGTGAAGGAGGGTAGGCCAACATTAGCTACGCTCTTCAGGCCCCGGCGGTCGAACCTATTCGTGTGAGTGTGTGCCGAATTGGAGATGTGAGTGCGGCGACTATTCCGACAACCGTGTCGGTGGGGAACATCTCAACGTGCCTGTGGGGACCCCTCCGCGAGAGGGGTGGGCAAGGTATCTGATACGAATACGTGAGCGTCTCGGTAGGAAAGTCCGCCGGAGAACCTCTCTCGAAAAGGTCGTGTGGTAGGGTTTCGTTTGTTTGTCGAAAAGTCCACGGCGGATTACGTCGGCCAGCGGGTTATGCTACGATCGGCGTGCCGTGGCCCGTCTCCTCACGGTGATCGGAGGGACCGGGGTTATACTGCTAATTTCGGTGGATGACTTATCGGGAACTGACTTGATTAAGGAATCCGAGAACGCTCTTTTCCTCCCGAAGACCAGGACAACAGCCAGACTAAACGGGATATGCCAGTGCGGCTAGTTTTACTGTTGAACCGCACGTGGCTGTCGTCCGCCAGTCGAGCCTGTGAGAAACCGGCTTCAGTCCGGTTCGTCGTACTGTCACGAAAGTCCCTCCTCTCGAGGTCTCCGAGTTTACCAAGACACTGGTCTCGGAGCTCGTGGTTGCGTCCAGGGTAACGCCCCTCGCTTCCAAACGTGATGACCCACGACGGAGGACTGGTGAACGTTTCTGGTGCCTGTATTCGCCGACTGACTTCCCGACTGGACGGAGGTTTAGCCGGGGGGCGGTGTGTACCGTCCTGCTCTACCGAGACGAATGTGGAATTAACACCTTTACTCGGTCGGGGGACAGGTGGTCATAGACATTCATCCTATCTTACTCTCGGGTGGAATATGCTATCGCCGAGATCTGAGGAAAGAAGTGTGGTTAGCGACCTTAGATCGTGTGAAACCGGACATTGTCCGACATACGTCACGGGTGGTTTTGACCGCCGGGCGCCCGGTGTAGGACGGGGCGCGTCTGTAAGAGTAGGCCCGGCGTTGCTGCCCCCACTGTCACGCAACCGGCCTCACCGAATGACGCAAGCGGGAGTGGGTAAAAAAACAAATGTTGCAGAGCACTATTCCACGTCATGGCGTCAGGTTGTCTCTCCGTCGTCGACCGCCCTGTCAATCTGACGCTTGACGCTTTGGAAGGAAGGAACTTCCTTCTTCAATAGGAAGCAACCACTTTCCAGACCGATTACGCGAGGCGTGGTGTTCGCTCGATCGGGGCGACGCCTGTCTCAGTTGTCCTCTCCGTCCTCGACCCCTGTCAATCGGATCTTCGTCCCAACCAACATTGCCTTATGTACATTGCCGCAAATGCTTAGTCTTATGTTTTTAGTTCATCCCGATTGACATAAGGTCAACCGCAATGTTAAACTTTTTGCTCATTGGACTATTGTCAAATGAAAACTTTGGACTTCACTTATGTGTAAAACTTATGAATAACCTTAAATAACCAACCTTTTCAAGGAGTGTTTTACCATTATAAGTAATGGCCGTCTTGGCACACGTGTGACGTGCGCGACCGTCCGTACAGACACTCGTTCTCTCTCCTACGTCGCACGACACTCCCGGAGCGGGGGCGTTGCGTCTACTCTCTCTCTCTAGAGAAAATTTTATATAACTTGTCAATCTTTGCCTCTACCTTCTATTTTACACGTTCTATTGCAAATACATCGTAGAAATAAACAACTTTACCTAACTGCTACAAGTATGTGCCCTATTTTAGTTTCACTTACCGGACGACGACGACTTACCACGTTCACTGACTTTTGTCAAAATTTTCAATAATGTAGCAAAGGTCTATTAATTTATTATTACTCATTAAGAAAGATAAATCCCGCGGAAAGTTCTCTGGTTCCACATGTGGATGTGTTAAGTATTGTATAAGGTTCCTTTCAAATTCGTCACGTTTCTTACGTCAGGCCCACTACAAAAAATACGCCCCACGTCCTACTCCTCTCGAATGGTCTTACTGTGGTTCTACACAACACAAACTCAAGAACTATTCGGTATTTTGTCATTTTATGCACAAAACTTTTGAAAAAAATGCATCACACTAGCAGAAAGAGTTATCTTGGTAGAAACTATTACAGAAGACCGGGTTAGTTCTTAGTTCTTATTGCCGGCACCACAACAACGTCCTTCAGGACTGCCTCTTAAATGAAAACGACACACATTTAGAGACATATGTAGCACACTATATCTTATAGTTTGTGCATCTACCTATCTCTATATGGGTAGTGCAAACTACTAACCTATCACACACCCGACAGAAAGGTAAAACGCGTGTGTCTTGTTAAATATTTATTTGTATGTATGTATATACCATATAGGCGGAAGAAAGTAAATAGTAAAGGTTAGAGGTGTTGGTTATCAAAGTAGAATTTCTATCACCGTATAAAACCTCAATACTATCAAGCATTACCACTAATTAGTACTAATTAAGTAAAAATCCGACACTAATTAGAACTATATTTTTAACATTAGCAAACTGTGTCGGGATTAATTTTTTTTGTTTAGGTCTCCAATGCCACAAAGACATTGAAGGACGAATTCTTTCTTTCCCTGTCATTGTCTTTCTAGAGACACTGCGGTCTACACACACACAATTACGCTATATAGGCTTTTTTTTAAGACAAATCCTACCGGCTTCTGTGATGTGGATGGGTATTACGGGGTCGGAGTAGCAAACCTGAGCATGTCCAGGGTACGTTTGGGGCACTAATTAGAGTTCGAGACCCTAACCTACAACCTCACCGTCACGCGGTATGAAATGCGGACTCGCAGTTCGAGAACTTATTGCTTTGGTGCCGTCTGATAGGTTTTTACCTAAACTTTCGGGGGTTCTTGATGTGTACGACCGATAACACAAAGCGTTGTACATGAGATACCGTGGCAGAGATGACCCTTAACATCAAAATTTAGCCAAAAAGGGTTTAATCTCAACTGTCATAGTTGACACATGTCGGACCTCCCAATCGCTATCCCCATTTGTGTAACCACACATGTGGTAAACTTTTGTACATTAAATGCATTTACCACTTTTAGCGAACATAGGTATTACGCGTCGCTAAGTTAATATATGGGGTACTGTCGAGTAAAGTGAAACATTAATGATTGCTTAAGTCTCCAATTGGGACCATAAAAATGAGGTGGTGATAAAATCAATGAAACGGTCAAGATTAATTACTAAACATTATATTTGTTGGGAATGTAGTTGAATTCAATGTGGACTCATTTGTAAGTCTTTCCACTAACAGTTCACGGTTGTTAAGTCTCTTATAAACTATCAACCACGAACTGTAGTGGAAAGGACTTAAATGAGTCCACAAAAAATTGATTCAGACTACATTCCCAACAAATATAATGTGTTTAGTAATTAATCTTAACGTTTCTATTGATTTTATTTACAGCCGACCTCATTTTTATGGTCCAATTGGAGACTTTAAATCATGTATGTTCACTGTCGACTGGGTAACTCGACAGGCCTACACACCATATAGTATACGAGCGTAATACCTATGTCGCCTAAAAAGTGCGGTAAATATTAATGTACAAAATTTTACACATGTGTGCGTTGACACAAAGGATATGCCGGATTGGAGGTCCCGACTGTGTCAAATTATGACAGTTGAAGATTAAACCCTTTTTGCACCTAAAATTTGATGTTAAGGGTCACTCTGCACGGTATCTCATGTACAACGCGTTTGGTGTTACGGCATCGTGAAAACACATCAAGAACCCCCGCAAGGTTTAGGTAAAAACCTATCAGATGCACCAAAGCAAGGTAAGTTTGTCTCGAACCTGCGAAGCGCATTTCAAAGCGTACGACGCCTAGAGCTAGTGAGGTTAGGTCTCGAACTTCTAATTAGTGACCCCAAACCAAAGTTACCTGACATCGGGTTTTCGCATCGACCCTGACAACTACCCATAACATCACAGAAGCCGTACGGATGTTCGTGTTAAAACCAGCCTATAGTTAGCTGTAATCATTGGTATCGTAGACCAAATATCTCTAACAGTAAATGACAGGAAAGAAGAAGTACTCCTTCATGCTATTTGTGCATTGAGACTAAACAAAGATTCACCACGACAGTCCATGCGATGTTAATCAAATTAGATCTAACAAGTGATCGGATATTCACTTATTAGACTAATTAGTGGTAACAGCTTAGATATAGGTTTTATCGGTGAAGAAATAATCAATATAGTAACAACACCTTACAGTCACTGACGATTTACTTATATTCCTCGTACCGCGAGTTAAATGAACCAGAAGTTTTCTCAAACCGCGACAAATAAGTTACTTTTATTATAAAGAAACAGTGTACACACCGTATACATAACTTTCTAGATCTCAGTGGTGTGTGATAAGATCAGATGCGTCCAGTGAATGACACCTATTAATTAGTATTTGAGACAATTTTTAGAAGAAACAGATAGTTTCTACCATATCCTAAATGGTGTACAAGAGTCGAAAGCAGTCTGAAGACGTGTATACAGCTGCCGGCAATCAGTACCTAGTAGACTAAGGCTTCTCCGAGTAAATAGATGTTTAAAGTCTACAAAGATAAACTCTTCGTGCATAGCG